TAATCTTGATGTGTATCTTGATACAACAGTGTAACTGTTTGCGCTATACAGTTTGCAATCACTGACAATAGTATACTTCCTAGACTCTTTCTGAGCATTGTTTATGTGCACATAATTTACACTTGAACTACCCCCTCTCTCTGTCTCTCTCTCTCTCTCTCTCTATATATATATATATATATATATATATATATATATATATATATACTGTGTGTGAGGGAGAGAGAGATGAAGGGGGTGTGGGCAGGATTGGGGACTAGTCAGAGGAAATGAGCCACCTGCAGCCATGACAGGAGGTTTTGACCTTCATTTGGAGTTTCTCTCTCTCTCTCTCTCTCTCTCTCTCTCTCTCTCTCTCTCTCTCTCTTTCTCTCTCTCTCTCTCTCTCTCTCTCTCTCTCTCTCTCTCTCTCTCTCTCTCTCTCTCTCTCTCTCTCTCTCTCTCTCTCTCTCTCTCTCTCTCTCTGTCTCTCTCTCTGTCTGTCTCTCTCATTACTTTGCTCACACACAAACACACATACTTTTGCTCTATAGAAATCCAGTAAGGGACCTCTCCCCTCAACCATTGGGCATCACTTCCTCATACAAGGAGTGCTAGAAAAGAAATGTAGATGAGCCATTGTCATTGAGCAGGTCAGTGCATGGGAAATGACCCCCCCCACCCCCAGAGGACAGGTATATGACCAGATTTTTTTTTTAACTAAGGATCATTTACATATTTTTAGAGAAAGTCCAGTTACTGTTTGAGTCACTCACCTGCTATACAAAAAGCGTCTTTCATGCCTTGAAAAAGTTGTTTAGATGTAGTTGAGTCCTGTTGTCTCTCCTGCAGCCCCTCCGCAAACATTAGTTTTATTTGTCACGGCCAACATCGTTATGTCACTTATTAAACTTTGGTTTAAAGGCAAATTTTCTGCTTTTCTTTTGTTTTGTATATAAAAAATTAAATATTTGTTTGGTCTACAAAGTTTGTATAAAGTTTGTTGGTCGGATAATATTATAAGATTTTGTATTAGGAGGCCTACAAAGTTTGTATGAAGTTTGTTGTATAAAACTTGCATAACCAGATTTAGCTTTTACCCCTACGAATTTGTTTCAATTTTTTATTTGATAAAAAAGTGTCTTCTTTTGCTACATGTCTTAATGCTTTGTTTTTTGAATTAATGTTAATTTGCGTAACGCTTTCGATCAAATCCAAAGTTAAAAGGCTGATAGGCCAGGGTATTATAATACTATTATAATAATATATTTCGTTTGGTGATTGAATTTGTTTCTGACCTTTTATAATGAGTTTAATTTTTGAGATTTTGAGTTGGTTTTATTCGTTAATAGGCTAGGCTACTGCACGTTTAAGTGAAATGTTAGCGTCCGGTTTAGCCTACTCAACTGCAAAATTAACTACAATAGGCTAAATAAATAAATGCGTATAGCAGTTATTTTCAATAAAGTTAGCAATGACTGTTAGGCTAATTAATGCTTTTGTCAAAAGCAGTGGTTCTTCATATGATTTTTTTGTTGTTGCTGGAATTAGGCTAATAAAGAAAGTAGGCCTATTCATTATCTAAAAACATTATTTTTTCTGCCCATGTTTAAATACAATAATAATAATAATTTGCATGTTGAGATGCGTACCGGGAATATCAAATCTTATTTTATTTTTTCAGCTTAAAATAGTCTCCGTCTCCCCGAACGTCCTTTTATTTCGGTCCGGCAGCCGCAGATAGCCTATGCTCTTAATTTGTTAATAGATTACGTATTTTTGTAACTATGATAACGTAGGCCTGTCTGGCATATTTTTATACGGCTATGAACAAGCATGACTGTGGGCTACAGGTTTTTTCTTTTCCTTGTGTGAGCATTTCATTAGGATATTAATGGGAAGCAAACGACATATATTTGTCTGTTTATGTTGTTTGGTACTGTGAGTGATTTCAAAGGCTAGTTATGGAATAAAGTCCACTTGTAAGGTATCCAACGCTTTTGGGGCAATGACTCAGTCTCTGTCGTCCCAGTCATGGTGCACATGGGGCAATGAACAACTAAATTTTGCTGATACAGAGAATTCAGAAGTTAAACAAATGGGGAAAAAAATATCCAAACGATAATGCGTTTGATGGTTATTATAGGCTTTATCTGCACTGCTTCTCCAATCCTTATAGGCTACTGCTGAGGGTGCATTACCGTCTCACTCCTGATTTGGTAAAGCCATGTGTGCCAGCGCCGTGACGTCATGTCCGCTGGGCTCAGCTCCCATTTGATGAGAGGGCGGCACGTTCTTTTCGACCAAAGAGCAAGATAAAACTGGAGCGCGAGATGGTTATTAAATCTTAGAGAAGAAGCTACAGAGACATTGAGAAATATTATTCTTATTGTTTATTTAATTCTTATCAAGATTTCAGGAGGCAGTTAATTACACAATTAATACGTACGTGATACAAATTATTTACACATATAACAAACAGTAGGCTACCTGTAAACACAAAATAAAATTGTATTATCTTAATTTATCTCTCTTTCAGCTTTCAACATAGCTTTTATAGATCTTCGCTGATGAGTAAATTCATTCGGTCGTATATCAGATAGAAGGCCATATTCATAGATATGCTCATATGCAATTGAACTAATACTGTTTCTCTGATTCGGCACAGTTCTGTGTTATTAAGTTCGCACTTGAACTTGTAAGGCAAAGTGTGTTAAGTTTGGTGGCTATATAGCTAGTCACACACTCTTTTCAGGTATAAAACAAAGAGATTCAAAAAGTAAAAATTCCACAATTTGTAGGCTATATGGATACAGTCTGCAACTTAAATCTCGTTCATACCGTTTTAACTTTTCTAAACACGCGTGAATATGCCTACATGACAATTTGCAGCTTTCATGCAAAGGCCCCAATACCGCTTCATTCACATAAAGAAGTTATTGCAATATAAATAAGCAATTTAAACACCTTAGAAATCTACTCTCACATAAAAAGCAACACCGGTCATTGGATAAAGTTTTTTCCCCCCTTAATATAATCTATATAAATACATAACAAATATGAAGTCAACATTAAAACAGTATTTTAACATCTGTCATACAGTAAACAGCTTGTTTGCTTAATTTTTTTTATTCGATAGTTGTGTGTTTTTATATAGGTTCATATTTAAATAGCCTATTTGTTTATATTTCTGTGTGATGTGTTGTGGCGCTTATTGGCTTTTGTCAAGAGTGCGCATAAGCGAAATCATTGTCAGTGCTACACGTTTAGGCAGCATTATAATGATTAAAACATACTTTGCTACAAAAGATGATTATATTGCTCTTTTATAAAAACTATGCGATTTAAGACGCTGCGGTACATTTGTTTATTTATTTAGCGCACTAGTTGAAATATTTTGGCCAGGCTATGTTATAGCTATTAGCCTATATATTAGGCTTTTTCACATGGTCAACCAGATAACCTACAATGTAATGCATTGTTAAAGAAGTTCTCGCGTGTTTTTTTTTCTCCCCATCACTTTACTCTTTAAATTAACCAGGCTGAGACGGTCAACTTATTTACAAGAAGAACATTTTTTTCCCTTCTTTTTTTGAAAATTCCTGCTGAGATTGCGACGATTGCTGCGTCCATTTTGTATCAAACATCAAACCAAATCAATGATACGACAAACGTGGAAATAAAACAATTCTAATGCATTTGATATCACAGTTGCCTGGATGCAGAAGAAAATACTCTTTGGACTTAAGCAATGTTTTCGCATTTTCCCCACATAACTAATAAATGTATAAACGAGCGTTGCGCTAATAGTGGAAAACGCTTGGTTCTGGTGATAGCATGACAAAGAAGAGCGATAGAAACACTTGTTTCTCAAGAGAGCCACTCTGTCCAAGTGCAAAAAACGGCTCCTAGCCTGTTTTTGAAATAATTTGACCATTATTTCATAAGAGAATTGTATTCAATAAATGTATTTTGACATAATTCGATATAGCCTCTATTTAAAGTCAGTAATGCTGGTATATTTATTAACTGGCCCTTTTATTCTTTTGAATTATTGCATTGTAAATATAACCTTGCGCACCCCTCCCCCTCCCATTCCACCCCACCCATCATCTCCACCCCTCCCCGCTGTCTCTGTCTCAGTCACTGTCTGATTTGTCTTCCTTTGACGTGGTGCTGTGGTTGTATAGTCCCTGCGCCATCAGGTGTATTGCCAGGCCGTTCTTGGGGCCGCTGGCTTTTTTGATTTTGGCCCGCTTATTCTGAAACCAGATTTTGATCTGAGATTCATTGAGGCCCAGTTCCTGCGCCAGACCCTGCCGTCGCTGCTCGGTCAGGTAGCGGTTGTTCTGGAACTCGGCCTTGAGTCTCTGGAGCTGCTCCGCCGTGAAGGCCGTGCGTGGTCGTTTGTCCTCCTTACTTGCGCTTTTCTTCTTTGGTTTACGAGATCTGGGACCTGCGTGTGTGGATGAAATAACATACAGTTTTTAGAGCGAAGCACAAATTGCATAACATGACCAATATATGCTAATCTGTTTTATGTTGATGTAGGGTCTGGAGAGAGGGGGCTGTAAACATGTTCAACGAAGTGTTGTAATTTATGAATTTGTTTTACGTAGGCTTTATTTATTTATTTATTTTGCGTCACATTAGGGTGTGAGCAGTATGGATCCCCCCCCCCCCCCCCCCCCCCCCCCCCCCCCCCCCCCTCTCTCTCTCTCTCTCTCTCTCTCTCTCTCTCTTTCTCTCTCTCTTTCTCTGAGTGGAGGCCATTAATAGGTAATGCGGGAAACCTCAGAGATGAAGCAGAATTTTGATGAGGGATTCGCGCCTTGCTCCATATGGACATTTCTTGGTACAAAAAAAAGCCTTTTAGACATCGAAATGGAACGTGTATGGTCATATGGCGATCATACATAAAATTAACCCATTCGACATCATAACTGGTTATGACTGGTGTAAGTCTAGATAACTATAAGAAAATAAACACAATACAAAATTAGCTTAGCGCTACGACTACAGTTGGATAATAATTTCATGAATATTTTCATGTAAAAAAAATGTGGGCAAGGAGAAGCTGACGTGAAAGTACAATTTCAACGCGAAAATAAAAATGAAAGACTGGCGCGACAAGGTAGCCTATTATTCAACAGCAGTAAACAGTCCAGTTGCTTGAAAAAAAAAAAAGGATATAGCCTACCTATACAAATGGTAGACTTGTATGAAACTCTCTCGTAAATAACTCTATCAATCAGCACTCCAGTCTTTAATTTAAGCTGTAGGCTAACTGAGATATCATAAATTTAATATTTCCAACAATAACAACAAAATTGACGGACTAGGCTAAATGACCACTTTTGATCGAGTTTGCTCTACGGAATTAGCATTCAGTAGCTATGCACATAATGGTTTCTTCTGTTTTGAAATAGTACCAATACAGTTTTCGTCAATTTACGAAATACTTTACCACAAACACTCATGAGCAACTGCTAACTCAGAATAGTAAATGCAAGGCCTGCTCCATTGTCAAAAATATGCTAATGAAATATCAACAAAGACGGAAGGCTTACAGGGCTAAACCTTTGACGAAACTAAAAAATTGTGTGTGTGTGTATAAAGCCATTCAGCGTTAAAAATGCCTTTCTGTAATATTGCATTTACTTTAGTCTACTAATATTTAATTAAAAGTAAATCAACCTTGACATTCTATTTCTCATCTCTTCCTTAAAACGATACCAAAACTACTATAGCCTACACCATTATCAATCTCAAAGCAAACGGTATGGAATTAAAATGAAAGACAATTCAAATATATTAATAATAGCCTAACTCTAAAATAAGTATAATCGAATTTGCGAAAAAAATTTTCTATATGCTACTTTTCTGAACGTTTTTGACGATCTTTAGCCTGTTTTGATGTTTTTGGACCTTTGTCGTTTTACTTAAGCAATAGATTATATAAATCCCATCGTAATGTTTCAGTATAGCCTATATATGTTGAGAAATATGAAAGATATGAGATTTTATTTATTACGATATGTTAAGTGAATTGTTTATATTTTCACAAATTTGGCGGTTTGTATTTCAGCTTTTTGGGTTTGTTCTAGAATTGGAATACGTGATTAAAATGAAAAACAGTATAGATTAGAACTTGTAGAACTTTGGAAAAAATTGAACAGATTTCCCGGCACATGGCCTATATAAAAAAATAAAAGGAAACGTACCTGACGATGGCCTGTCCGAGTAGCGTGTGCAGTAAACCCAAGCGGGCCACAGCATAGACTGACTAGGGTGTCCGTTCGAATTGCTCTGTGAACTATCCGATTCTGAGCCCAGGCACTGATCCACATTCTCCCCGCGGGGCTTCAGGGGCTCTTCGCTCTCTACCTCAGCCTTCTTTCCTCCGCTGCTCGTATGCGTTGTGGAAGTTCCCTCTGCTGGAACAGTACTTCCCACCTGTCCCGTGCTAGGACCAGTAGGGTTGTGATTCTCTCGAGCGCTGTGATTGCCCTCATCGCGCGTGATGTTTGCTTCTTTCTTACGGCCAAAGTCTGGCCGCAGGATGTTGTCGATGAAGAAGTTTGTGATTCTGTGCGGGAGCTGCAGGTTCCCTGGAGCTTGCAGAAGGGGTCGAATGGCACTGTTGGACTCGTCCGCTGCTCCTCGCTGTTCCGCGTCTCTTGCGCTCTGCTCATTCTCATCCATGCTGAGACGCACTTTCCACGTTCCGTCCTTAACCCTTTATCGCTCTCCCGCACTCAGGCAGTCGCACCCCACTCCGCGGGCGACTCCGTCCACTTTGTTCACTTAAGCAAAATTTCAAAACTGAGAAAGAAAGTCTGTCAGTGTGTTTTAGCGACAATAAAAAGCCTTTGCGCACCGTGGTCACAAAGGAAAAACATAGTTACGCCTTCCAGTCACGGAATGTCCTCTGTTTAAGGTTGATGAACCGTAACTTTCCAATTTGGTGCTATTTGTTTTGTGGGCAATGCAACTATCGAGGCTTCAGTGACTACTCTGAGAAGTGGGGCTCCTAACTGCTCGTGAAATACTTTCACTCCGGATTTTTGTTCTTATTTTTAATACGAGCCCCCAGTGACGTTACACTCCGGTATCCAAGACACGTGCCTTCAACCAATAGAATAGTCTAGAGTTAGTCACATGGCCCTGATTCGCGAGTAACAGACAACACTCATCCTTGCACTTTTAAAGACACAGTGCTTCACCGAAATATAAATTCAGACCGTGCCAAAAACGCAGCCTGCATACTGAACACGGACTTCACATTTCCCCCTCTTAATCATAGAGGTTTACTTGTAGCGTATTATTTCTGCTATGCATGTTTTTATGCATGTACCTAGCCTATCATTATTCAGATTTGGTCGTCAGCTCACTATCCGAACGCACTCACTAAACCGCAGATTTTAAAATCCAATTTTTTTAGATAAACATTTTTGTAGGCTACTCTTGAGTGCTGCTAAGTTTTTCAGCAGGAGAATTATTTTATTGTAGGCCTATCATTATATCGCAGTTTTGACTAACTGTAAAAATTGGTTATGTAGGCCTAACACAGAATGCGTCAAACCAATACTAGTGGAGAAGTCGTTTCCGCAATGGAGTGCTTGCTGTTTCCAAACCATAATAACATTACAGTTTTCTTCATGTATGATGCAGACATTTTACTTATGAAGAGCAGTAGGCCAACGAAAAATGAAAATTTCTCAATATTTAGAATGTTAGCCTATACAATTCATAATGCTGCACTGTAGCGATAAAGATTTTCGTAATATTGCACCATACAGAAAGAGTAAACAAAAACGGATACACGCAGAGAGTTCTTCATCTGTCGCTACGACTCGTGTAGTCCATATTTTTAGTGTAATTAATGATTTCATGCTCATTTCTTTAAACATAACTGGGTATTTCAAAGAATCAGCATAGTCACGCCAAAAATGAAATTGTAGAACAACTTTCACTCATTCATATCCCTTAACCCTATAGGCACCGTGGCAACGCTGGAACCTTGTATAGCAGATACGGTTCCTGTCCAGGTAGCAAATCCATGCATCGCTCACATCTTTGTGATTTAGATTAATTTTATCACACAGCCTCGAGTCGTTATGTCTATAATGAAGGGCGCCTGAGGAGCATTTTTGGCTACATTGACAGTAAACTATGTAGCACATCGAAATCAACAATAACAACGACTTGGTTAGATTTGAGCTCTTAACCATTTGTAAAGCCATCACCTTGTTGGAGCTGCCAGTATGGTTAGTCTAGCTTCTCCCAGTGAGCGTGCAGCCTATGTCTTTTCTAACCGAAGAGGTTTCTCAAGAGGCCTTCTGTGATTGCATTTTTCATTATGAAGTGTCTCTGGCGAGCCAAGACCATGCAATCCCTTTTCAAATTGTTGCACATTATCCGCATAACAATGTATTTTTAATGCCACTAACAAGGCATATCTTATTTCGTATTTGCAAGATTGTTTCCTTTAAAACTAAATTATAGCATAGTCTTTCATTGTGGTTTCACTGAGTACATTAAATATTGTTGGAGGGACTAAATTGTGTGGCAAAAATATTATTTAGTCATTTATTTTTTTATATTGGTTACATTCCTATTGATGATATTGTTGCTTGATGAAGATCCCCCGACAACAACCATTTGAATAGTCCATAGCGGTACAATAGCCACTGGTATGTTGTACACCATGCTCTTATCAAGTGTGGAATGGACACGGCTCTAATTTAAGGGTCTTCAATGATGCTTTGGTTTTAGGGGCATTCTTCTACAACGATTTTTAATCACCTGCAAGAAATTCACCGTCGACTTCATGGTTAAAAGACAATAGAGCGATTGACAGATTGCAAGCGCCGTGGCCTGCCCTCTATCACTGTCTCTCTTTTGCCACAGTCAAGACTGAAACACTCGCCCTGGTTTAGGCGAGAATTGCAGTTTACACAATTTTTTTTTTTTTTTTTGGGCATAGAAAAAAATAATTAGCCTATCCGACATGCATATCACCACAGTAACAACAGCCAGCACTAATTAAAATATAACAACAGTGCAACCTATCATTGATGTGCTTAGGGATTCTATAAATGAAGCATCCATGTGTCCTCCTTTACCCTCTATACTTCTGCTGCTTCATCATCTATAGGCCTACTAGGCTATGTATCTTGTGATTTCATTCATCCAATATGAGGCGTCCCCTCCCATAGCAACAAAACGCAGGTTAAGCGATGTAAGCACACTGTACTGACCGGGTTGAGAAGCTATACTTTTACTGTTGTACAGCAAAATAATAAATAATAATAAACCTAAAGTGCAATCCAACGTGCATCTATTTATGCAAAGGTAAATCCTGAATATTCAACTTTTTATGCTGGATTATAGGCTATATACATCATATGATTTAATATACGATCCCGTTTCAAGCAGGTCCGTCAGTGCAGATCTTTCATATCACGTTAATTTGGCACTATATCTACTATTTGGTTCTTTATATGACAGCCTTAACTGCAATGGCACCACTAGTCAAACCCTGTGCACATGATTAAGGCCATACGTTGATGTTTTTATTTGCCGTCATCAGCCTTTCCGTCTTTTGTGTTGACTAGCCTTCACGTGCGCTTCCTGTCTATATGTTGTTCTCCAGGGTGTATAGTCTAACCTGAGGGATATTTCATTCTCCTTATTCATCAAAGATTTTGGTGAGCTTTTGCATTTCACCGCGCCATGATGCCCAGACAAAATAGTTTGGCCTGGTTGGCAATTGTACCTCTTCTTGAGCACTTCAAGGAAATTGAATTTTCACACAAGAATATATTTATAAAGAATTTAATTGGATTTGCACCTAAGAAACGTTAAAACAGTGGGACAGCAATACTTCTTAAATGATCTTAAGGAAAATGTTAAGAGTAGGTGGTGTCAATTAGGTTGAATCACATAACGTTCAGACTTTTTTGTAAGAGAATCTCGCTGACATTTTCTTGACTGTGGTTAATTAATACTTAGATTTTTTAAAGAAATTAAATAGGCTATGTGTTTTTACATTGTTAAAAGTAACCTTTGGTGATATTATAGAGAGAGGCTACAAAGAGTTTAAGTCGTGTTTGCAGCGTTATCTTTTATCCCAGTATGTCCTATTTTTCCCCCCGCTTAACATAGACAAAACAACGTCCATCCATACCATAATTTAAGTTATCCACATTGGGTTAACAAAACTATTTTCAAAATATTAATTAAAAAAGTATTTATTTAGCTATTAAAAATGAATGTGCTATTTATTTTAGGTATTTTTATGTTTGTAAGATATGCTTTTTTAATGTAAAAAAATAGCACCAACTGGTGTCCCATAGGAAAATGTTGAAGTGATGTGCCGTTTGCTCTCAAAAAGACCGATGGAATCAGTGTCGATAGAGGCCAATATAAAGTCAAAAATATGATGGATGGAGGCAGCGTATAGAGTTTTATTTGAATATATGTTTTATATAGACTACCAGTTTATTTTGGAAATGCCTAGTGTTGGTCCCTCAGTGCGTTGTCTTTGGGCTCTCTTGAGCTTTAACGCACAGTATAGCTTGTAGGGCCTACTGGTTCAGTCACTACAATAGGCGATGACGCGCTAACTCGATTTGTGAATGGACGCACTGGTGTGTGTGTGTGTGCGTGTGCGAGTCTTGGTGATCATAGAGCTTGCAGCCTGATATAAAGGATAACACACACCCCTGAACTCTCTCACTCTCTCACTGTCTTGCTCTCAAAAGACACACAAACACTCATACTAACACGGTCAGTCAAAGCACGACTGCGATATGAGTCCTGACACGACGCAGGGCAGGATCCAGCCAACCACCAGTCTAGGATCTGCAATGTCACGATGACAGTTGTTTTCGATGTTACACATAAATTTCCTTTCTTCCCAAAGATTTGTAAAAGGTCTTCACATTTTACGATTCGAATAATGTTTTAAAAAATCTCCATACCTGAAAAAATGCGACTTAAGTGATTGCGCCAAAAAAAAAAAAATTGGTTGGCTTTGCCTAGCCTATCCATAATTTGGTCCAATACCAAAGAGTGAAACCAATACTGCGGTGGGTATTGGCTAAAATAAATGCATGACTGATGCTTCTTGTTTTAAATCCAGATTCCTCCATCAAAGCTAGGGAACTGTCGGGGTCCGGATCCTAGCAGAGTGGACACTTTGAAAACGCCGGGAGGATAGAGTTGATAGGTTTTAATGCTTTTAATTCTAAAGCGTCTGATCGTCCTGGCGTAAATAAGTCTCCTTTCAGTCGACACAGTCTTGCTGTCCCTGACCCACCGTGCATGTGGCGTCCTCCACAAACCTAATTAAGGCTCTTTAGATGGGATCAAGTTAATTGAATACTGCTCCCATCTTGAGACCCTTTTTTGGAGAAAATGGCTTCATTGACAGTCAAAGCTTTAGCCTTGTATCTCTCTCCACTCATCCCACCTTGAAGATTTCAGTGAATTGGAGAGACAAAACGGTTTTGCGTGCTTGAGTACACCCTTTTTTCAACTAACTTTAAAAATAATTAATGATGCTTAAAATATTTTCAGACATGTCTAACGTCGGTCGGCTTTTCAAATGCAAGAGAGTGCCACAGGTGCATTTTCACTTTAACAAATACCTAGCGTTTTTCTCCGTGAAAACTGGCATTTAGAGCGCCTCTCAGACATGTCAGCCCACATTATATTTCATCAAACGCTTTTTTCCCTTCAAATTAGTTTGCACCCAGAAAGTTTTAAAATGGTCTGCACTGTTACGAAATAAGGCTTGTTGATCGTTCTTATAAATATATTTCTGCACGTTTAATCTGGAATCATAAGTTGTATTTAGATTATATATATATATATATATATATATATATATATATATATATGTATATATATATATTGTATATTATGCATGCATTGACATCACTGACATCCGTAAATAAATTATATATACATGCATAAACTATCGTTGTCTTTATTCCATCTTGCTAATTTCGTGCCACTTAAATGTTGTTAATTTTTTGTACTTTATGGAAGTGTTATTTA